GAAAAAAAATATATATTACAAATAAAACTATCCTTTTTTTTTTCTTCTTTCTTGTCTTTCCGGACACATTTGGTCCGAGGATAGGTAGAGTCTTCGAATCTCATTTAAATTTCACACTCTGCTCGAATCCAAGCGAAAGAAGAAGGCCAGCTTGAATCGTTAAAACCGTACATCATCAGACCAACAGATTCGATTTCAATTTTTTTGTCTCTCTTTCTCTTTTATTCCTCATTAAAGATTTCATTTTTGTTTCTCTTTCTCTTTTATTCCTCATTAAAAAAAAAAAAAAAAATCAATCAAAAGTGCACTGCATTGAGACGAAAGAAAAGCCTCTCTCTTCTTCTCCCGCCGTAAACTTCATTTCTTAGAGGCACTGCTCGCACCTTGGACACGACCCGGGTGGTGGAAGCAGTAGACGAAAAGAGCAAGGAGGAGGGCGAAGACTAACACTGCGGGTGGGAGACTAAGGGACTGGAGGCGTCACGTCCACCAACACGCCTGGCGCCCCGCGAGATTGTCAGGGTGGATGTGGTCCTCGTAGGGCTGCGTCGAACTCAGCTCGTCTCGTACCTGGCCAAAGGGCAGAAAGGGGGAAAAAAGGGGGGTTCTTTTAATGTTTTTTGGTTTATTGAGGTGGTTTTGTATGATGTTTGTTTGTCTGATGATGTCTTGTCTAGATATTTAGAGTGGTTATGGCGTGGAGGGGAAAGATGGAAGGGAATTACGTCCCCTTTCTTATCTCTATTCCCTCTCATCTCTCCTTCGTCCCTATCCCCCTCCCCTCTTACCCCATCCCCTCACCTCCCCCTTCCTCCTTTCACCCCTCCCGCCTCCCCTCCTCCTCCCTACCCTCCCCCCTCTCCTCCCTACCCTCCTCCCTCCCTCCCTCTCCTCCCTCCCTCTACCCCTCCCTTTCTCCTCCCCCCCCTCCTCCTTTCTCCCTTTCCACCCTCTCTCCTCCCCTCCCCCCTCTTCCCTCCCTCCCTCTCCTCCCATCCCTCTCCTCCCCTCCCTCTACCCCTCCCTTCCTCTCCTCCCCCCCCTCCTCCCTTTCCTCCCTTTCCACCCCTCCCTCTCCTCCCATCCCCCTCCTCCCCTCCCTCCCTCTCCTCCCCTCCCTCATATTCCTTTCTCTTTCCTCACCCTCCCCGCCTCCCCTTCCTCCCTCTCCTCCCATCCCTCTCCTCCCCTCCCTCTACCCCTCCCTTCCTCTCCTCCCCCCCCTCCTCCCTTTCCTCCCTTTCCACCCCTCCCTCTCCTCCCATCCCTCTCCTCCCCTCCCTCTACCCCTCCCTTCCTCTCCTCCCCCCCCTCCTCCCTTTCCTCCCTTTCCACCCCTCCCTCTCCTCCCATCCCCCTCCTCCCCTCCCTCCCTCTCCTCCCATCCCCCTCCTCCCCTCCCTCCCTCTCCTCCCCTCCCTCATATTCCTTTCTCTTTCCTCACCCTCCCCGCCTCCCCTTCCTCCCTCTCCTCCCATCCCCCTCCTCCCCTCCCTCCCTCTCCTCCCATCCCTCTCCTCCCCTCCCTCTACCCCTCCCCTTCCCTCCCTCCCCTCCCTCTACCCCTCCCTTCCTCTCCTCCCCCCCCTCCTCCCTTTCCTCCCTTTCCACCCCTCCCTCTCCTCCCATCCCTCTCCTCCCCTCCCTCTACCCCTCCCTTCCTCTCCTCCCCCCCCTCCTCCCTTTCCTCCCTTTCCACCCCTCCCTCTCCTCCCCTCCCTCATATTCCTTTCTCTTTCCTCACCCTCCCCGCCTCCCCTTCCTCCCTCTCCTCCCCTCCCTCATATTCCTTTCTCTTTCCTCACCCTCCCCGCCTCCCCTTCCTCCCTCTCCTCCCCTCCCTCATATTCCTTTCTCTTTCCTCACCCTCCCCGCCTCCCCTTCCTCCCTCTCCTCCCATCCCTCTCCTCCCCTCCCTCTACCCCTCCCCTTCCCTCCCTCTCCTCCCCTCCCCCTCCTCCCCTCCCTCATATTCCTTTCTCTTTCCTCCTCCCGCCTCCCCCTTCCTCCTCCTCCCATCCCCCTCCCTCTCCTCCATCACCCTCCTCCCTTCCCTCCCTCTCCTCCCCTCCCTCCCTCTCCTCCCATCCCCCTCCTCCCCTCCCTCCCTCTCCTCCCACCCCCTTCCTCTCCTCCTATCCCCCTCCTCCCTCTCCTCCCCTCCCCCTCCTCCCCTCTCCCCCTCCCTTCCCTCCCTCCCCTCCTTCTACCCCTCCCCTTCCCTCCCTCTCCCCCCTTTACCCATCCCCTTCCCATCCCTCTCCTCCCATCCCCTCTCCTCCCATCCCCATCCCCTCCCTCTACCCCTCCCCTTCCCTCCCTCCTTCCCCCTCTCCCCTTCCCCTCCCACACCCCCTCACCTGCTCCGCCCGCCGCAGGACTCGCAGCAGATTCCCCCCCGCGAGCTTGGCCACGTCTTCCTCGGACCAGCGAGAGTCCTTCAGCACCTCAGCCAGAAGGAGTGGATACTTGCTCACGTCCTCCAAGCCCACGGGAGTCCTGAGGGTATAAGGTAGAAATGGTAAGAGTAAGGTATGAGGTAGAAATGGTGAGGGTAAAGTATAAGGTAGAAATTGTAAGGATAAGGTATCAGGTAGAAATGGTGAGAATAAGGTATGAGGTAGAAATGGTATCGAAGTCATGGTAAAAAGGATATTTGGGTAATAAGGTATAAGGTAGAAATGGTAAGAGTAAGGTAGAAATGGTAAGAGTAAGGTAGAAATGGTGAGAATAAGGTATAAGGTAGAAATGGTAAGGATAAGGTATCAGGTAGAAATGGTGAGAATAAGGTATAAGGTAGAAATGGTGAGAATAAGGTATAAGGTAGAAATGGTAAGGATAAGGTAGAAATGGTAAGGATAAGGTAGAAATGGTGAGAATAAGGTATAAGGTAGAAATGGTGAGAATAAGGTATAAGGTAGAAATGGTAAGGATAAGGTAGAAATGGTGAGAATAAGGTATAAGGTAGAAATGGTAAGAGTAAGGTAGAAATGGTAAGAGTAAGGTAGAAATGGTAAGAGTAAGGTAGAAATGGTAAGAGTAAGGTAGAAATGGTAAGAGTAAGGTAGAAATGGTAAGGATAAGGTAGAAATGGTGAGAATAAGGTATAAGTTAGAAATGGTAAGGATAAGGTAGAAATGGTAAGAGTAAGGTATGAGGTAGAAATGGTAAGGGTAAAGTATAAGGTAGAAATTGTAAGAATAAGGTAGAAATGGTAAGGATAAGGTAGAAATGGTAAGGATAAGGTAGAAATGGTGAGAATAAGGTATAAGGTAGAAATGGTAAGGATAAGGTAGAAATGGTGAGAATAAGGTATAAGGTAGAAATGGTAAGGATAAGGTAGAAATGGTAAGGATAAGGTAGAAATGGTAAGGATAAGGTAGAAATGGTGAGAATAAGGTATAAGGTAGAAATGGTAAGGATAAGGTAGAAATGGTAAGAGTAAGGTAGAAATGGTGAGAATAAGGTATAAGGTAGAAATGGTAAGAGTAAGGTAGAAATGGTGAGAATAAGGTATAAGGTAGAAATGGTGAGAGTAAGGTATCAGGTAGAAATGGTAAAGATAAGGTATAAGGTAGAAATGGTGAGAATAAGGTATAAGTTAGAAATGGTAAGGATAAGGTAGAAATGGTAAGAGTAAGGTAGAAATGGTGAGAATAAGGTATAAGGTAGAAATGGTAAGAGTAAGGTAGAAATGGTAAGGATAAGGTAGAAATGGTGAGAATAAGGTATCAGGTAGAAATGGTAAGAGTAAAGTATAAGGTAGAAATGGTAAGAGTAAGGTAGAAATGGTGAGAATAAGGTATAAGGTAGAAATGGTAAGAGTAAGGTAGAAATGGTGAGAATAAGGTATAAGGTAGAAATGGTGAGAATAAGGTATAAGGTAGAAATGGTGAGAATAAGGTATAAGGTAGAAATGGTGAGAATAAGGTATAAGGTAGAAATGGTAAGGATAAGGTAGAAATGGTAAGGATAAGGTAGAAATGGTAAGGATAAGGTAGAAATGGTAAGAGTAAGGTAGAAATGGTAAGGATAAGGTAGAAATGGTGAGAATAAGGTATAAGGTAGAAATGGTGAGAATAAGGTATAAGGTAGAAATGGTGAGAATAAGGTATAAGGTAGAAATGGTGAGAATAAGGTATAAGGTAGAAATGGTGAGAATAAGGTATAAGGTAGAAATGGTGAGAATAAGGTATAAGGTAGAAATGGTAAGAGTAAGGTAGAAATGGTAAGAGTAAGGTAGAAATGGTAAGGATAAGGTAGAAATGGTGAGAATAAGGTATAAGGTAGAAATGGTAAGAGTAAGGTATGAGGTAGAAATGGTGAGAATAAGGTATAAGGTAGAAATGGTAAGGATAAGGTAGAAATGGTAAGGATAAGGTAGAAATGGTAAGAGTAAGGTAGAAATGGTGAGAATAAGGTATAAGGTAGAAATGGTAAGGATAAGGTAGAAATGGTGAGAATAAGGTATAAGGTAGAAATGGTAAGAGTAAGGTAGAAATGGTGAGAATAAGGTATAAGGTAGAAATGGTAAGGATAAGGTAGAAATGGTGAGAATAAGGTATAAGGTAGAAATGGTGAGAATAAGGTATAAGGTAGAAATGGTGAGAATAAGGTATAAGGTAGAAATGGTAAGGATAAGGTAGAAATGGTGAGAATAAGGTATAAGGTAGAAATGGTAAGGATAAGGTATAAGGTAGAAGTGGTAAAAATAAGGTAGAAATGGTGAGAATAAGGTATCAGGTAGAAATGGTAAGAGTAAAGTATAAGGTAGAAATGGTAAGAGTAAGGTAGAAATGGTGAGAATAAGGTATAAGGTAGAAATGGTAAGAGTAAGTACTCTACCTATTTTGTTTGCGCATTCATTCATTCCTTTTTGTTGTTGTTCAAACCATTACGTTCACAAATCTCGTATTTTGAATTTCGTGTGACAGGTTATGAAATAATAATCGAACTGCTCATAAATCATGCCTCAATTATGGGAGTTCGCTAATGGCTAG